ATATATAGCCGATCTGGAGAAAACTGTGATGTCATCATCCAGCTCAGTTCAGTTCTCATATAATGCTGTCAATACAGATCAATAATATTGTTGAATATTAAATTAAATGTCCCCAACTAAGCAAGCCAAAAGCCAATGGCAACAAAGGTGAAAAAAGGCGAAAATGTCCACTTATAATCTTATGACAGTTGGTGACTTTTGTCCCATTAGTTATGTGAACACAAACAAAATCATGGACTATATTCAAATGTGTTAAAGGGTCAAAAATAAAAAGTAACACTTGGTACCTTCGCAGTCAAAAATGACCGACATGGGAAATGTGAAAAAATACGAAAAATCTTTTGGTGGTACAAACAATCAGCCATGATAAAAAAAAAAAAAAAAATGCAGCAATGAAGGGGTTAATTGAAAACATTTTGAGTGCAAAATAGACAAAAATAACATTTTAATTGCAAAATATTTGTCTAAAGTGTTTTGATTTTTTTTTACAACCAAACAAATACTGAGTAACAAAAATGCTTTTGCAAAACCTGATACCTATCTAACAAAACCTTGACAAAAACTAGTCTTTTAGAATGTTTAAATGTATATCTAAATGCAAAACCTAATAAAAGTAATAAAAATGTTGTCTAAAAACAACTAGTGACATTACACTTATTCAAACGAACCGCACTAACAGAGCAATCGCACCACAGTTTGTCTTAATCAAACCAAACCTGCCAAGTGTGAACACACACAATTGGTCTTTTTTTGTACTTTATCAAGATATTTTGGGTTCCTCGTAATTTAAAGTGCATCCCAATTCACATACTCGTGCACTATTCTGTGACGTTTTGTAGTATAAATAGAGTGAGTAGTGAGTGGCAACCTCCCGCTCTCTCTCTCTCGTGAATCCCACACGGAAGTGACTTAGGCCTTGTCCACACGGACACGGGTATTTTTATAACCGTGACTGTTTTTACACGGTTCGGCCGTTCGTCCACACGGAAACGCACTGAAACCGAACATTTTTGAAAACCCCTGCCAGGGTGAGGAGTTGTAGTGTTGTCGGGTAGACAGTGAAACCGGGGGTTTTGCCTTGCGACGTCAGAGTGTGCGCCGTTATCCGCCTACCGGATACTTTTTTTTTAAACGCAAGAGGAAAAACTTTGGTTATAAAAATACCCGTGTCCGTGTGGACAAGCCCTTAAACTGCACTTCATCCACTGGCCACTGGAGACAGGCTCCATAAGAGAGTCAGTCCCATAAACCCCCGTGTTAAAATGCCCAACTTTACAGCAGAAAAAAACATGTTTACAGCCTGGTACAAAAAGTGGTTTTGGTCTATAATGCTAATTTTGCCCTTCATGACGACTGTGAGGCGGGTGAATTTTTTAATAACTCATCCTTTACATTATATTAAGCCTTAAAGTTCTGCATAATTAAGGGCGTGGCCACTTGAGTGACAGGTGGACTGCCGCTGATGTCACTGCTAGCCGTTTGTCTGCTGTGTGTTAGCGTCACGTCACCTCAGTTCAGCCCAGACGCTGCACATTTACAGTTATCCGGGAGTGACGCGCGACCAAGATGGCGACTGCCGGCTCCGCCCACTTTGGGCTTCAAAAATGCTCTTCAGAAACATACGGGTGACGTCACGGACACTACGCCCTTTGTTTTATACAGTCTATGGTTCACACTGAAAGTTACAAATAGAAAAATTACACTTTAAATACCCAGATGATGCACTTAATTAACAGAAAAAACTAAGTGTTTAATGTTGGACACTTCATGCACTCAACTGTCTCAGGGGATTATGATGTTGAATGACAAAATCTTTTTCTAAAACGTATAAAATTCAAACACTGCACAGTTCACAACTAGTTTCTTTAAACCGTGTGATTTCACCGTGTGTATTTAGTTCCTGTTACAACACTGCGTGACTAGCTTAGAATAATGATAATGTGTGCGGGTCGATGTCCTCGGAGGGCATTTTAGCATGTTGCCACGGCTTTTTCTTTTTAAATGTAATTTAAAAACAGCACAACAGCTTCTTTCCAGTAAGGTTGCACATTAATAATAGGACACACAGCTCCATTTGGCACATCTCCATCTATCGGTGTGTTTCTGTGGCACATCACCTTCACATGAGCCGTGATTGACTGGATCTGGGCGGTTTTACGCGGACAGGAGCCCCGGAGGACTCGTAAACACCTCACATCAGCTAAACTAACAGCAGTCGTTTCATCAGACGTACAGCCGTCTGAGAGACACACATCACTGCGAGAACCATGCCATTTATCCTTGATTATGCTGTAATAATACAGGTCATGTATAGAACTGATACGCACAGTTAAAAGAGTCTCGATCTTGTAGGTTTGATTTACTGCGTTTTTGTTCTTAACGTGCATAAATTATGCATATTAGTACCTTAAAGTCTTCTAAAGTTACATTAACAAGCTTTTGCTCATTAATTTTTGCAAGTTTTTCTACAAATGTATCCATGATTGAACAAATCTGAAATGATCACTATTAATGTCTAAATTTACCATAAAAGCTTAAACTGTAATCAGTCAATAGCTCGGTTTATTGCAAGCATGTTTAAAGGTTAATAATCACTACCCTTCAAAGAAATGAATACGTTTATTTAGCATTGATCTAGTAAATTGATCAAAAGTAATAGTACAGACATTTATAATGTTATATTTCCATTTCAGATAAGTTCTGTTCATTTGAACGTTATTTCTTTGAAAAGTATCACAGTTTCCACAAAAATATGAAGCAGCACGACTGTTTTCAACACTGATGATAAGCATAAATGTGATTATTGAGCATAAATCCTCATATTAGAGTGATTTCTGAAGGATCATGTGACACTGAAGACTGGAGTAATGATGCTGGAAATACAGCTTTGATCACAGGAATAAATTACGGTTTATCGTATATTCACATAGGAATCAGTTAATTTCATTTGTAATAATATTTCACGATATCACTTTTTTAAGCTATTTTTTTATCAAATAAATGTAGCTTTGGTGAGCATAAGAGACTTATTTTAAAAACATTTAAAAAATCTTAATTATTCCAAACTTTTGGCTGGTAGTTTAAAGAAATTGACAATAATTGTCAATATATACTCTGTTTAATTACAAATAATTATATGTATATTATATAACTATATGTGTGTGTGTGTGTGTAATGTATATATAACTGAATCAATATATTATGGGTGTTGTTGTTGTTTTCATTGATAATTTTTTTTATTTTTGGCAACATTTGACCTATATCCAGACCTACCGGTATATGTTTTTGATGACTAGTCCCGCCACTTTAACTATAAGCTTATAACAATCAGGCTGTGGTCTGTTGATTAATATCATTTACAACACTGTCTGTGCGTGCACGTGTGTGTGTGCGTGCATGCATGTGTATGTGTGTGTGTGTGTGTGTGTGTGTGTGTGTGCATGCATGTGTGTGTGCGCGTGTGTGTGTGCACTGATCATTATTTACATGGACATCTTTATTTACATATCACTGTGATATTTTTTCAAAATATTAACACACACAGATCATGTTATCAATACTTTTGAGATTCTGAAAAAAATTACCAGTTTCTACAGAATATACAGTATCAATACAACCAGAATGAACAACCAGTTTTTTATTCTCTCTCTCACACACACACACACACACACACACGAACAGCCGGAGAAATGTTTGCCGTCACTCAGAGTTAATGAAGTGCATAGTTGTGTGTGGATCTCATGTGGTTGCTCTTACAGCTTTGCTGAGCATGGAAGTGATTTCTGCTCTCCAGCAAATCTGGGAATCATTTTGCAGCAAAGCATTGCTTTTCTGGAGGTGTTGTGTTCTTGGATAAACACCCACCTGTGCTGTCAAAGCACACATCTCTCGCAGTATTATATGCATTACTTGCTTACACTATATTGATAAATACATTCTGTGAGCTATTTATTAAGTTTGCATGTCATATTGGCCAATATTCCTTTTTTTGTCTTTTAACTCCAACATTAAATCTCTAAAAAGATCACAAATGAACGTGATGTGATTGTCAGCATTACAATGAATGTGCATTATGAATTTACATAAATACATACATTTGTAAAGTTTATGGAGATGCAGCAAAAAAAGGCTTGTTGTTTATTAAGCACTCTTTAGATTTTGATTTGATTTCTATTAATGCTGGATAATTCTTTTAGCAGTTTGTCACTTTAGTGAAAGATGTGCTGTTGACTTTGAGAAGTGCTGTTTTCTTCACACAGGAAGAACAGGAGATATGCATTTAGAATATGTCATTATTTCTGCCTTTAAATCTACTTGAAAATAATTGAAATTAATGTGACATTAATCTTTGGTCTGTTGTCTCATGTCGCCATTGCATTATCCAGCAAGCTTATTACATTCCCCTCCATAGTGCACAGCTGTAGTGTGAACAGTGTTGTTGTTGTTGTTTGTTTTAAATAGCCAAAATAGATTTATAAAATATAAAATGGATTTATAACATCATATCAGACTAAAACAAATTCTTCATGCCTTGTTTTCCATTAAAATAGCCAAGCATTCTTCAAAATAATAAATTCAGCTGATTAGCAAAAACTGCATTAAAAAATGCAAACAAATTAAAGCTTTTTAGAGGATCATTTTGAATAAAAGTGTATTTTGTCTGATGGCACTGGCAGATTTTGTTTTACTTGTTTTTTTGTTTAAAACGTATATTAATATCTTCACATCATTCATATCTTATCCAATATACACCAATGATTTATGCAGCTGTTTTATACTTCAGTAGTTAATATCCAGTGAAATTCTCAAGTAAATTTGTCTTGTTTTAAGCATGTTTAGATATTTTTACGAGAAAATAAGATACTCAGAATCATCAAAGAGACTCATTAAGAAGATTATACATCAAAATCCTATTACAATAAGCAGATTTTCTGTGTTGAATATTGCAGATGAGTCATTTCCGTGTGGTCCACTTTTAACTGCTCTCTCTTTGTTCTCAGCTACTATAATTTGGATGACACCAGCCATGAAACCATTAACAAATACCTTTCAACCCTGGTGGAGAGGAGCCTGAGAGACCTGGAGTGCTCGTACTGCATGGAGATACAGCAGGTATTTACGCCTCTACATGTACATTAGTCATTAGCAGACGCCTTTATCCAAAGTGACTTACAAATGTGACCCTGGATCACATGTTGCACGGGTATATTTGTGGCAATAGCCAACAATACATTATTGTTAATAATTATCGTAATAATTAGAGTTGCCACTTAGAATTAGAGTTCATAAGAATTGTTGCATCAGGTCAATTCAAAAGCCTGATCGGCATCATGGGTAATTCATTAGCTGCGTCCCAATTCAAAGGCTCTTCCTACAAATGCGTCCTCCTCTCCCTGGGTCACGAATGTGAGAACGAGCCTATCCGAAGATTCATTACACGTTGGTGACGATTGTATATTTTTTAAGAGAAAATGCTTTATATTCGTATTTTTTATATATGAATATATATATACACAGTATATACATGCAGATATTTCTTAAATATATACATGCGTGTGTTTATTTATGTATACAAAATAATTATACACAGTACACACTCACATATTATGTAAACACAAACGTTTATTTTGGATGCGATTAATCGTTTTTTATTGAAAACAACATTGACATAGACTGTGTTCAATTTCACACTAACATTCTCACTTGGAGCAAATAATCTCTCACACAATGTAACACTGTCCATCAATAAAAGAGTGAAAGAAATACTGATGAGGTCCTGATATTGACGAGGGGGCGGAGAATTCGCATCAGCTGTGTGTGTGTGTGTGTGTGTGTGTGACTGTGTTGTTGTGTTCATCAGTGACTGTGTTGTGTTCATCAGTGACTGTGTTCATCAGTGACTGTGTTCATCAGTGACTGTGTTCATCAGTGACTGTGTTGTTGTGTTCATCAGTGACTGTGTTCATCAGTGACTGTGTTCATCAGTGACTGTGTTGTTGTGTTCATCAGTGACTGTGTTCATCAGTGACTGTGTTCATCAGTGACTGTGTTGTTGTGTTCATCAGTGACTGTGTTGTTGTGTTCATCAGTGACTGTGTTGTTGTGTTCATCAGTGACTGTGTTGTTGTGTTCATCAGTGACTGTGTTTCTGTGTTCATCAGTGACTGTGTTCATCAGTGACTGTGTTGTTGTGTTCATCAGTGATTGTGTTGTTGTGTTCATCAGTGACTGTGTTGTTGTGTTCATCAGTGACTGTGTTGTTGTGTTCATCAGTGACTGTGTTCATGAGTGACTGTGTTGTTGTGTTCATCAGTGACTGTGTTGTTGTGTTCATCAGTGACTGTGTTCATCAGTGACTGTGTTCATCAGTGACTGTGTTGTTGTGTTCATCAGTGACTGTGTTCATCAGTGACTGTGTTCATCAGTGACTGTGTTTCTGTGTTCATCAGTGACTGTGTTGTTGTGTTCATCAGTGACTGTGTTCATCAGTGACTGTGTTCATCAGTGACTGTGTTCATGAGTGACTGTGTTGTTGTGTTCATCAGTGACTGTGTTGTTGTGTTCATCAGTGACTGTGTTCATCAGTGACTGTGTTCATCAGTGACTGTGTTGTTGTGTTCATCAGTGACTGTGTTCATCAGTGACTGTGTTCATCAGTGACTGTGTTTCTGTGTTCATCAGTGACTGTGTTGTTGTGTTCATCAGTGACTGTGTTCATCAGTGACTGTGTTCATCAGTGACTGTGTTGTTGTGTTCATCAGTGACTGTGGGCCCTATCTTGCACTCGGCGCAAATGACTTTGTACACTGACGCATGTATCATTCCTATTTTGCACCCGCGCAAAGCGGGCTTTTCCCTCCACAGACGCACGTCGGTTAACTAAAAAATACACTTGCGCTCCCCGGGGCGGTTCGGCGCAAAGAGGAGGCGTGTTCCGGCGCAAACTTTCCCTCATGCTATTTTGCTGTTCTATAAGACAATTGCGCCACTGACCAGAAAAAACCTAGTCTAAAGTCAGTGGCGTGTTGCGCGTTGTTCATTATGCTATTTTAAGGGCGCATGCTTGGCCATAATCAATGTAGCGTGTGCACAACGCGCATACACGTTGATTCTCTCATCTAAGCAGCAGTTTTCATTTTTGCAAATCATACATTATTACGATAGATAGATAGATAGATAGATAGATAGATAGATAGATAGATAGATAGATAGATAGATAGATAGATAGATAGATAGATAGACAATTTATTATAAAAGCATACATGTAGCTTACACATTTACCCAAATTATCATACGCCTGTTTAACAGAAGTTAATTTGGGTGGGTTTCTCCATCCTCAATGTCACTTCTCTGTGTTTTACGGCCCTGACGAGAACGTTGCTCTCCTCGGCTGTGAACCGCTCCTGGCGCGCGCCTGGCAAATCTGCCGTTATAATAGGAATCCGCTTTAGAACAAGCGCGCCTGCTCTTAAAGGGAATGTGAGATGACGCTCTGATTGGTTTATTTCACGTTATGCCCAAACCACACCTATGAATAATGAAGCTACTTCAGACCAACCCCTTTTAGATTTGCGCCAGGCGCAAAAGGCATTTATCCCGCCGGGAAAATAGCAACAGCGCCGGGATCCGCCCACAAAGTTACTTGCGCTTTGCGCTTTGACACTTGCGTTTCAGATCGTTAAAATAGGGCCCTGTGTTGTTGTGTTCATCAGTGACTGTGTTTCTGTGTGCATCAGTGACTGTGTTGTTGTGTTCATCAGTGACTGTGTTGTTGTGTTCATCAGTGACTGTGTTGTTGTGTTCATCAGTGACTGTGTTGTTGTGTTCATCAGTGACTGTGTTCATGAGTGACTGTGTTGTTGTGTTCATCAGTGACTGTGTTGTTGTGTTCATCATAGGGCTGGGCGATAAAACGATAACGATAATTATCGCGATATAATTTTTCTCGATAAAACGATATCAAGAGGTCGATAAATGTTCGATAATGTGTATGCGCCAAAAGCGGAACGAAACTCATTTGAACCGCGCGCCACACGGACCGTTTATCCGCTCGGCTCAAAGTCCAAACAGCAGCGCGAGCTCACTAGAGCAGACGCGTTCGTCTCGCTCACGAGATCCAGTGAGAAGTGCTTAAGTTCAGCGAAGAACACAAATGTCCAGTTTAAATCAGTTTAAAGGCAGATGAAACACCGCTGACAAACAGGAGAAACACTGTACGCAACGATACAGTCAGAATCTGAATGGAAACTGAATCCATTTAGCCTACCATGGATTTACTGTAACGTTAGCCTAGTAATATTAACTGCACCATGAAATGTGGGATATACATATTGAATTGTATAATATTATTAATGTAGACAATGTATTAAATGACTAATGGAATATAATTACAGTATTTAATAATGTATTTAACTGTTTGTAGGCTAATGTAGGCTACTGTTTTTCATACAAAAACCATAGAAACCATAAAGTAACATTTTGCTATTATAGTAAGGTGCTAAGTTATAGGCTGTACCTGGCTTTATCTGTGGTTATCATGATCTAAATCCATGATACTGGATGACCAATGGTTAATTTTAATAAAACTCAAACAGTCAGAATATTACATTTTACCAAATAAAAATGTGGTCCTTAAATAAAAAACAAACAAACAGATGTTACTGTTTTTGTTAATGAACATAAATTTAACATAGTAGCATTAGCTTGAGTTAGGATGTAGATTTACTGTCAACTCACTGTCGAATATGCATTTCGAGACAAAACATGTAATTTGAATATTGCAGCCTGCACTGCAAACTGTGCTGAAGAAATATTTTTCTTTTCAAATATTTATTTTGTTAAGGAAAAATGACAAATGTTTGAATGTTCTACCTCAGATTTTTAAAACCACAATGCTCTGGTTTATACAACTTTCACTTAGGAGCAAAAATCTGCCTTTAAACTTGAAAGAAATAAAGATTTGACATTTATCGTGATAATTATCGATATCGACTGATATAAAAAAAATATCGTGATATTTTTTTTGGGCCATATCGCCCAGCCCTAGTTCATCAGTGACTGTGTTCATGAGTGACTGTGTTGTTGTGTTCATCAGTGACTGTGTTGTTGTGTTCATCAGTGACTGTGTTCATCAGTGACTGTGTTGTTGTGTTCATCAGTGACTGTGTTCATCAGTGACTGTGTTCATCAGTGACTGTGTTGTTGTGTTCATCAGTGATTGTGTTGTTGTGTCCATCAGTGACTGTGTTGTTGTGTCCATCAGTGACTGTGTTGTTGTGTTCATCAGTGACTGTGTTTCTGTGTTGTGACTGTGTTTCTGTGTTCATCAGTGACTGTGTTGTTGTGTTCATCAGTGACTGTGTTCATCAGTGACTGTGTTGTTGTGTTCATCAGTGACTGTGTTGTTGTGTTAATCAGTGACTGTGTTGTTGTGTTAATCAGTGACTGTGTTGTTGTGTTAATCAGTGACTGTGTTGTTGTGTTCATCAGTGACTGTGTTCATCAGTGACTGTGTTGTTGTGTTAATCAGTGACTGTGTTGTTGTGTTAATCAGTGACTGTGTTGTTGTGTTAATCAGTGACTGTGTTGTTGTGTTCATTAGTGAATGTGTTCATCAGTGACTGTGTTGTTGTGTTCATCAGTGACTGTTCATCAGTGACTGTGTTCATCAGTGACTGTGTTGTTGTGTTCATCAGTGACTGTTCATCAGTGACTGTGTTTATCAGTGACTGTGTTGTTGTGTTCATCAGTGACTGTGTTGTTGTGTTCATCAGTGATTGTGTTGTGTCCATCAGTGACTGTGTTGTTGTGTCCATCAGTGACTGTGTTGTTGTGTTCATCAGTGACTGTGTTTCTGTGTTGTGACTGTGTTTCTGTGTTCATCAGTGACTGTGTTGTTGTGTTCATCAGTGACTGTGTTCATCAGTGACTGTGTTGTTGTGTTCATCAGTGACTGTGTTCATCAGTGACTGTGTTCATCAGTGACTGTGTTGTTGTGTTCATCAGTGATTGTGTTGTTGTGTCCATCAGTGACTGTGTTGTTGTGTCCATCAGTGACTGTGTTGTTGTGTTCATCAGTGACTGTGTTTCTGTGTTGTGACTGTGTTTCTGTGTTCATCAGTGACTGTGTTGTTGTGTTCATCAGTGACTGTGTTCATCAGTGACTGTGTTGTTCTGTTCATCAGTGACTGTGTTCATCAGTGACTGTGTTGTTGTGTTCATCAGTGACTGTGTTCATCAGTGACTGTGTTGTTGTGTTAATCAGTGACTGTGTTGTTGTGTTAATCAGTGACTGTGTTGTTGTGTTAATCAGTGACTGTGTTGTTGTGTTCATCAGTGACTGTGTTCATCAGTGACTGTGTTGTTGAGTTAATCAGTGACTGTGTTGTTGTGTTCATTAGTGAATGTGTTCATCAGTGACTGTGTTGTTGTGTTCATCAGTGACTGTTCATCAGTGACTGTGTTCATCAGTGACTGTGTTGTTGTGTTCATCAGTGACTGTTCATCAGTGACTGTGTTCATCAGTGACTGTGTTGTTGTGTTCATCAGTGACTGTGTTGTTGTGTTCATCAGTGACTGTGTTGTTGTGTTCATCAGTGATTGTGTTGTGTCCATCAGTGACTGTGTTGTTGTGTCCATCAGTGACTGTGTTTCTGTGTTGTGACTGTGTTTCTGTGTTCATCAGTGACTGTGTTGTTGTGTTCATCAGTGACTGTGTTCATCAGTGACTGTGTTCATCAGTGACTGTGTTCATCAGTGACTGTGTTCATCAGTGACTGTGTTGTTGTGTTCATCAGTGACTGTGTTCATCAGTGACTGTGTCCATCAGTGACTGTGTTGTTGTGTTCATCAGTGACTGTGTTTCTGTGTTGTGACTGTGTTTCTGTGTTCATCAGTGACTGTGTTGTTGTGTTCATCAGTGACTGTGTTCATCAGTGACTGTGTTCATCAGTGACTGTGTTCATCAGTGACTGTGTTCATCAGTGACTGTGTTCATCAGTGACTGTGTTGTTGTGTTCATCAGTGACTGTGTTCATCAGTGACTGTGTTCATCAGTGACTGTGTTGTTGTGTTCATCAGTGATTGTGTTGTTGTGTTCATCAGTGACTGTGTTCATCAGTGACTGTGTTCATCAGTGACTGTGTTGTTGTGTTCATCAGTGATTGTGTTGTTGTGTCCATCAGTGACTGTGTTGTTGTGTCCATCAGTGACTGTGTTGTTGTGTTCATCAGTGACTGTGTTTCTGTGTTGTGACTGTGTTTCTGTGTTCATCAGTGACTGTGTTGTTGTGTTCATCAGTGACTGTGTTCATCAGTGACTGTGTTGTTGTGTTTATCAGTGACTGTGTTGTTGTGTTAATCAGTGACTGTGTTGTTGTGTTAATCAGTGACTGTGTTGTTGTGTTAATCAGTGACTGTGTTGTTGTGTTCATCAGTGACTGTGTTCATCAGTGACTGTGTTGTTGTGTTAATCAGTGACTGTGTTGTTGTGTTAATCAGTGACTGTGTTGTTGTGTTAATCAGTGACTGTGTTGTTGTGTTCATTAGTGAATGTGTTCATCAGTGACTGTGTTGTTGTGTTCATCAGTGACTGTTCATCAGTGACTGTGTTCATCAGTGACTGTGTTGTTGTGTTCATCAGTGACTGTTCATCAGTGACTGTGTTTATCAGTGACTGTGTTGTTGTGTTCATCAGTGACTGTGTTGTTGTGTTCATCAGTGATTGTGTTGTGTCCATCAGTGACTGTGTTGTTGTGTCCATCAGTGACTGTGTTGTTGTGTTCATCAGTGACTGTGTTTCTGTGTTGTGACTGTGTTTCTGTGTTCATCAGTGACTGTGTTGTTGTGTTCATCAGTGACTGTGTTCATCAGTGACTGTGTTGTTGTGTTCATCAGTGACTGTGTTCATCAGTGACTGTGTTGTTGTGTTCATCAGTGACTGTGTTGTTGTGTTCATCAGTGACTGTGTTCATCAGTGACTGTGTTCATCAGTGACTGTGTTGTTGTGTTCATCAGTGATTGTGTTGTTGTGTCCATCAGTGACTGTGTTGTTGTGTCCATCAGTGACTGTGTTGTTGTGTTCATCAGTGACTGTGTTTCTGTGTTGTGACTGTGTTTCTGTGTTCATCAGTGACTGTGTTGTTGTGTTCATCAGTGACTGTGTTCATCAGTGACTGTGTTGTTCTGTTCATCAGTGACTGTGTTCATCAGTGACTGTGTTGTTGTGTTCATCAGTGACTGTGTTCATCAGTGACTGTGTTCATCAGTGACTGTGTTGTTGTGTTAATCAGTGACTGTGTTGTTGTGTTAATCAGTGACTGTGTTGTTGTGTTAATCAGTGACTGTGTTCATCAGTGACTGTGTTCATCAGTGACTGTGTTCATCAGTGACTGTGTTGTTGTGTTAATCAGTGACTGTGTTCATCAGTGACTGTGTTCATGAGTGACTGTGTTGTTGTGTTAATCAGTGACTGTGTTGTTGTGTTCATTAGTGAATGTGTTCATCAGTGACTGTGTTCTTGTGTTCATCAGTGACTGTTCATCAGTGACTGTGTTCATCAGTGACTGTGTTGTTGTGTTCATCAGTGACTGTTCATCAGTGACTCTGTTCATCAGTGACTGTGTTGTTGTGTTCATCAGTGACTGTGTTGTTGTGTTCATCAGTGACTGTGTTGTTGTGTTCATCAGTGATTGTGTTGTGTCCATCAGTGACTGTGTTGTTGTGTCCATCAGTGACTGTGTTGTTGTGTTCATCAGTGACTGTGTTTCTGTGTTGTGACTGTGTTTCTGTGTTCATCAGTGACTGTGTTGTTGTGTTCATCAGTGACTGTGTTCATCAGTGACTGTGTTCATCAGTGACTGTGTTCATCAGTGACTGTGTTCATCAGTGACTGTGTTCATCAGTGACTGTGTTCATCAGTGACTGTGTTGTTGTGTTCATCAGTGACTGTGTTCATCAGTGACTGTGTTCATCAGTGACTGTGTTGTTGTGTTCATCAGTGATTGTGTTGTTGTGTCCATCAGTGACTGTGTTGTTGTGTTCATCAGTGACTGTGTTTCTGTGTTCATCAGTGACTGTGTTGTTGTGTTCATCAGTGACTGTGTTCATCAGTGACTGTGTTTCTGTGTTGTGACTGTGTTTCTGTGTTCATCAGTGACTGTGTTGTTGTGTTCATCAGTGACTGTGTTCATCAGTGACTGTGTTGTTGTGTTCATCAGTGACTGTGTTCATCAGTGACTGTGTTGTTGTGTTAATCAGTGACTGTGTTGTTGTGTTAATCAGTGACTGTGTTGTTGTGTTCATCAGTGACTGTGTTGTTGTGTTCATCAGTGACTGTGTTCATCAGTGACTGTGTTGTTGTGTTAATCAGTGATTGTGTTGTTGTGTTAATCAGTGATTGTGTTGTTGTGTTCATCAGTGATTGTGTTGTTGTGTTAATCAGTGATTGTGTTGTTGTGTTAATCAGTGACTGTGTTGTTGTGTTAATCAGTGACTGTGTTCATCAGTGACTGTGTTGTTGTGTTCATCAGTGACTGTGTTGTTGTGTTCATCAGTGACTGTGTTCATCAGTGACTGTGTTGTTGTGTTAATCAGTGATTGTGTTGTTGTGTTCATCAGTGACTGTGTTGTTGTGTTAATCAGTGATTGTGTTGTTGTGTTAATCAGTGATTGTGTTGTTGTGTTAATCAGTAACTGTGTTGTTGTGTTCATCAGTGATTGTGTTGTTGTGTTCAGGACGACCAGACCATCGACCCGCTGACCTACGGTCGCATTGCATCCTACTACTACCTGAAACACCAGACGATCCGCATGTTTAAGGAGCGCCTGAAGCCGGAGCTGCTGGTCCAGGATCTGCTGGCCGTCCTGTCGGTGAGCAAACACTCGTTTAAAAGCATCTCTCATCTTCTGCTCAGTGAAGCATTCAGGGACAGTGCACTTTAAACACCAATGCATCACCACCTTCACTGGCCAACATCCTGACACAGTTAATGATTATTCCATGAGTCCAGTTTGGCTTGATACAGCTGAGCACACACACACACACATAAGGGTTGGTGTGAAATGATCAGCTCTTTACGCCCGCCTCATTAGAGTGCCTCGCTCTCACTGATCGCAGACATAATTGAGACATAAAGGCCTTTCACACTCGACTGACGTCCTCACGACATGACATCTGTCTCACACTAGAGGCACCGCACAACTGATGCAAACTCAATTATTAAAACATGTGTTTATAACCAGAGGATTTTAGATTAGAGACCGGGGCATTTTCACTTTCCACAAACGTGCTGTGACTTGGTGTCCCGTTACATTTATCTAAGCAGTAAAGGCACAAATCTTATTGTGATTACCAAATGTGCCTAATCCTGAAATTCTGTTAGCCAGTGTTTTGTTTTCAAGAAAAAAAAAAGTATTTCATTTTGATATTTATTTAATGGTTATTGCTAGAAAATGATCCATTTTGCCCCCAAATATTAATAGCAGTGTGGAATCAGTGAAATAGATCATCAAGCAGCTCAGATCGGTTTTATTTTGACCTTCTGATGCGACGTTATTGTCCAAAGTTTAAGCACTTTTCACTGACCCCTTTTAAAAAATGACATTTGACATTTAACTTCATTTTTCAGCTTTATGCCATTTGGGGGAAAAAACCTGTTCCATCATTTTGAGCTACTTTGACCCAGAAAACACACTTAATTTATTATATATTATATTATATTATATTATAGTTTCCATTCAAACCTGTTGTTGAGATCATGTACAGTAGTGGCCAAAAGTGATGTCCGGCCTAGGAAAATTTTAATTATTGAACCTTATTTAAATATTATTAAAAATGTGTTAAAGATTGTGTAAGCATATTGCGCAGTTGTGAATATAGTCGATTGTTTTATTTGTGACGATAATGCAATGAAACATACCAAATTGTCCCGACATAATTTTTGGACAGGCTATTATTATACAAAGAAATTTTGAACTCGTGCAAAAACAAGGGCGAATCAATGAAATATCAATAACTGATTATGTTATAGTGAATGTATGCTTTTTCCTCTTTCCTTGCATAGTAAAATAAATAAAGTTTTTTGCCAAATAATTTTTTTTCAGATAAATACCTTAACCAAGTTTAGTGTTTTGTTCTTCCCTCGTATTTAAAATATGTAAAAAATATTTTACTTATATTTTGATGGTTTAACCAAACTTGTATAGTCATTAAACATCACTTTAATCCACTACTGTAGATGTTGGACTCTTAAGATTACAAACAGAGTTTGGACAAATATTGTTTTCAGTTATTTATAAAATGTGAGAGTTAGGTAAATGTAATTAGTTGTAAATTATATAAATGTATAACATTGAGACTGTTTAAAAGTTACTACATAAACACCCTTTCCAACTTTGTATTTGTTTAAATGTAGTGATGCTATGTCAGTGTTTGTAATATGCTATTCTCAAGAGTTTACTAGGTAACTAGCATGCTATATGGACAGTTGATAACTTTTTGCATCAAAAATAACATAAATCAGTGAAAATTAGAGATTTTGCTTAATATCATCATGGCGTCCAGTTCAACGTAAATAGAACATGTAGTTTAAATGCATGCTCTTTTTATAACTTTATGCTCTCTGTGGCTAAATCCTAAAGTATTTTATTGCCTGAGTGATTCATTTGATTATTTCTTGAAGATATCAGCTTTTAAATACTCCAGATAAGGAATAAAAAGTCAATTTAAAGCTTCATTTAATGCACAATGTTTTGTTATAAGTGTGCAAGCAGTTTTTACAGACAATCACTTTGCAGATTTATCCATAACCTTCCTAAAAGAATAAAAGAAGACATCAAGCCTGTGACCGCAGTGTGACCTGGGCGAGTCTCAGATTACCTGATGCCACAAAAGCTTCATCGGCTGAACCGGTCAAAATATAGAGATGAGAAGCTTTGAGTCATGTCTGTGAATATTAATGTGTGTGTGTGTGTTTGTGTGTCCGTAATAGGAAAAGAGCACATGTTAATGTGGTAATGACGCCTGAGGCAGCGGGATAAATCACTGAACCTCACAGTTACATGTTTCCCGCTTGATTATCCACTTACACTCGGTCATTACATCTCGCTGTCGAACGCTTAACAAAAGCCTGACATGAGGTGGGCAGAACCCCTGTTTTCACTCTAACCAGTCGTTCAATAGCAACAAATGACCCCTGTGTGAGACGCCTCCCCCATCAGCCCCTCGCTCACCCGTATTGTCCTGTAATTACCGTGGAGCGCTTCATAATGAGACACGAGTCAAGAGACACGAGCCCCCCTCGGCCCACCACTGCGGTCTTGACCTTCTCCAGTCCCACCGCCAATTAAAATCATACAACAAAGCTATAAACGGTTAAATCAAGACGTGTGTGTGTGTGTGTGTGTGTGTGTGTGCAGTAGCTCAGGTGGTTGAGAAGGGGTTCGACTCCCAGATGAACATGCTGATAAAAATTACAATTCTAATTGTTGTGTGTTCTTGCAATGCATTGTAAGTTGTTTTAGATCACATGCATAAATATAAATATCCTGCAATTTGAGCTCCACCCACAAAAATCTGAACATTTCATGGAATTATGGCACTCTAGAAGTAACATTATTAGGGGTGTATCGACACCCTCATGTCACGGTTCGATACATATCTAACTGAACTCACGATACGCTAATATTGCGATACTGCAAGACATATGATAAAAGGTTAACAAAAAAGGTACTGTTGATTAAAATGCTACATTTGGTTTTACAGTGTGTGTGTAAATGAATCGGCTTGGACTGCTGATAAGCCAAAGCACAGGACAATAGAGACACCAGAATAACATATTCATGATTCTGAAGCTGAAAATACTGAATTATTTTAGACTTATATGCTTGATCTCTCTCACTGACAATATATATTTAAAATAATGTAGGACACTTTATACTGGTAACACAAAACATTTGGCATTATCAGGACCCCCACTGCATTATTACACATTATATTCAACATTATATATATAGTAGTTTAATGTAGTGCTGACACTTAAACTCTGAAAACTTGAACTTTTTCTCACACAGTAATTTTCATTTTGGGTGATCTATACACAATACACATTGTTGCATTTTTGTATTGCCATACATTGTTAAATCTAGCGCTATATCTGCCCATCGCAGTTCTTAATCTTTAACTGAGTATATGCTGGAAGTGGATGAGGTGTTCAGCGAATGCTGTGTGTGTGTGTGTGTGTGTGTGTTCTCAGGAAGCCGAGGAGTACGCCGAGCTCCCGGTCCGGCACAACGAGGACCAGTTGAACAGTGAACTGGCCCAGCGGCTCCCAGTGCCGGTCAACCCTCACTCCTACGACAGCGCACACACCAAAACACACTTGCTCCTGCAGGCCCACTTCAGCCGCGCAACACTGCCCTGCAGCGACTACAGCACCGACACCAAAACTGCCCTGGACAACACCATACGCATCTGCCAGGTGTGTGTGTGTGTGTGTGTGTGTGTGTGTGTGTGTGTGTGTGCTTGCGTTCATCTGCCGTGTGTGTTCATATACGTGTGTTTTTTTTATTTGCAAGGACAGTGCATATTAACATAACAGCTCAAATATGCCAGAGTTAGCCAAAAGGCTAGTTTTCATCTGTAGTCCTAGGCCCGATGTACAGTAGGCACCCTCAATAACATTAGTCAGTTATAAAACAAAGCTTAAAAGGCAGAGTAAACATTAAAATGCAGCAGTTTCGAAATTAGATAAGAAGAACATGCAGGATGACTCAAGAAAGCGGCGGTGGAGGTTCAGTGCTGGCATGTGTGATTGCTAAGGAGCCAACGTTAATGATATTTAACGTGTGTGTGTGTGTGTGTGTGTGTGTGTGTGTGTGTGCGCACTTACGTTCACCTGCCGTATGTTTTCATATACATGTGTGTGTGCCTACGTTCATCTGCTGTGTGTGTGTGTGTGTGTGTGTGTATACTTTTGAGGGTCAAATGTCCTACTTGTATAGTGAAATATTATGACAACCAACTCGGGTTAGGCCATAGAAAATATCATTAACTTGATTTAAGATCTATGGAAGTCTATGCAATGTCCTCACTAATACAGTGAAACAAACATGTGTGTGTTTGTGTGTGTGTCCACACTTTTCCAAGACAGCATCCTAACTCTGGCCTGCCATCCGCTGTTATTCTGACGTGTGTAAACAGACTCGCAGTGCAACACACTGAGCACAGAGTGTCTGAAGTGTGGATATGATTTATGGATATTGGACTGTATGGTCATAAAGCACTGTCCTCAGGGGCGGTCATAAACCCTGCGCCGCCCGATCCGGCAGAGCAACCGGATGTCGACTGGTCACCTTTGAATCTGTGTGCAATTGGCTATGCCTGAGACACACTCTTGAGTTTCTCTGGCCAGGACTGGACAGATTGTCCACGCTGGCGGTCCGACTCTGCCAACGGCTCGTGAGTGTGTGTGTGTGTGTGTGTGTGTGTGTCTGGGAGTGATTGGCTATGCTTCTACGTGATGTGGTTACTTTTCTGGGTTCCCGCTGTGACAGTCCTGCTGGCAGCTCGTGTGTGTTCATAGCAGTCGCTCTCTTACACACCTGAGCTCATCCTGCAGTGATGTCACAGAATTAACCCTTCCCATGATGCCCAGCCGGCCTCATTACATCTTAATGGGTTTTTTT